CTTGTCTCAAAATTCCTTTAAATTATTTGTTTTTAAAATTCATTCTTAAGTTGTATACAAGGTAATATACTAAAGTTTCATACATACATTGTCTACCGATTTAAGACGAAGCCCGATTTTTCCATCCTGATCTTTACACAAGATTATTTCACGGATCCCTTGTTTAATTTCTGCTCGACGAATTCCAACATCACTTCCAGTTACTGGAGCCACCATATAATTCACCGCAGAAGGTCTTGCAACAAGCTGAGGATTAGAAAATGTATGTAAACCATAGGAGCATCATGTCTCATTCACGGGCCTTTGATTAAAACGGAACATAATTTCATTTGGTACAGCAGTTTTTTATGTTTTGGCAAAGGATTCTGGCATCAAGACTAAAGCTGCAACAGCTAAAAGGTATCACAGCACTGTGGTCAGTACATTAACAGAGTGAGGAGGAAACATCTGCATCCACACTTTGTGGAGCAGTATTTCTATACTTGCATTTCCAGTACTCTCCTATAAAGAAGCTAGGACAAAATCCCCAGAAGTTAACTTCAGGAAATCAGATGCCAAACTCAAAAGAGGAGATCACTCACTGGACTGACACTTACCCCCTGAGAATCAGCAGCAGGAACCACTGACAAGTTTCTATGTATCTCCTCTTCACTCAGGCTCAGGCCCATATACTGGGAAAGTTCAGGATACAGTCTTGGATATAAACCTATAGAAATTAAAGAAATTTCAAACAGTAATTTGTGCTATAAAATATTTAGAACCTATTGAGATTATAGTTCCCTCCCACCCCTCTTCTCCAGACATGGTGAAAGAGAAAGAACCTATTTCCCCTTCACAGCATATAGAAAGTTACCACTGTGCTGGAAGATATTGCCATTTTATTTAATTGGTTGACTGGTATATGTTTTAATATACACTCCCAAAGACAATTTATTTAATGCTGGTTCGTGCTGAGAAGCTGTAATGGTTACCAGGGCATGTAATCAATACCCATACCATACATTCTGCTTCAAAACCCTAATGCAATTGTATCAATAAAACACACAGTTCAATTCACAGAAAACAGACATGTTAAGGAACACACAATATTTCCAAAAAAGGGGTCCAGAAAAATTATTACAATTTTGCTTACAAATTACCTACTATCAGGTCTTTTAGGAAATAAACATAGTTGTTGCTTTTGCTATGCATGCAGAAAAGTAAGCTCAGTGAAAGGTGATATACTTTAAAACTCACAGCTGCCTTTGGTAAAATAAATAATGAAAACAAAATTATGGTTTTCAACCTTCCTCTTCTGCAACCTCTCCAATTCATGGATCTTAGGAAAGCAGGTGTAAAGTCAAAAGGAGTAAAAATACAAGGAAAAGGCAAGGAAAACAACCAAAGTTGTTTAGAACATTAAGAATTTTACTAAAAACAATAAAAGTATACATAATGTTAACCATTTAAGCCACAATTTATTTTGCTAAACCTTGTCCTTTTTCTCTGAATTGTACATTTAATCTTGTTAATGCAATAAGGGCTGTATTTGTCTACACAATGCAAATTTTCCCATTTACACTTTTCCATACTACAGTTAACTTACTTCCATCTTGAAAAGTGGGTGCTGAGGCTTCTGATAAAATTGCTGGGTTGGCAGGATTTGATGAGAAAGCTGTCTGTGCCTATATAACAAGAAACACACTCCATGAAGTTTAGAATAAACTGCAGAAAACATGAAAAGAC